CAACGAGGCGGGCATTGCCCAAAACCAATATACTCGTCGATACTACGAATAAGTCTAGGGTTTCAATCAGATTGCACAAGAATAAATGAGTTGCTCAAAAAGTCCTACTTAAGCATTAACAGTTTAACAAAAGCTCATCTTGATTCGGATAGAAGCCGTTATCCATTTACGCTCAGCTTATCCGCAGCTCAAGCCTTCAATGATTTCGTATTATGCAATGGCCTTCCAGTTAATTGCGGTCTTCAAGAGACTTGCGGCTGCAGCAGTTGAAGCTAATGGGATTGTAATTGCTTAAATGGCCTGAAGGGACTCGGCACATGTGAAAGCCATGTTTTGCTATTAGTATCCCACTACACACACACACATAGATAAACACGTGCTTGTATGTATTGCGGCTGCAGAAATAACACGGGCAAGGCGGGCAAGGGTCCAATGGCAATCTGGCCTAATGATGTACATTTCAAGCAAATTATCTGGGCCTGACTTGGCTTTAATTGTTTAAAGTGGACCTAAATAATTTGAAAATTACATTTGACATTTGAAATCGGGCACGGCACAAGAGCAAAACCCCAAAAGTGAATATGAAGCTCAAAATGCTGTTGTCAGCCTAGGGAAATGGAATATCTATTGGGATTGGAATCTTATTTATAGTCACAAAATTATTGGCATTGCTTGACTCAACGTAGGTCATGTTCAAATTATCGTCAATGTCGAATGTTTTCTGTATTTTCATTTAAGCTATCGGCATACAATTTCTTATTTGCAGGCTCTGTTTTACGATATTCAAAAAATTTTTATTGTCTTCATATAAATTTTCTATGAATTATTCAAACCAATTTAACCAGAGTTACGAAATTTTTATGTCTAGGCCACATAACTAATTCTCATTAAGAACAAGCAAGAAGGCTCCAGTCGAGACTGCTCGACTGGGAGATACCCTGAACCCCCTAAGCTGATATTCTACTCATTCTGCACTTCTGCATCCACACGCACGCATATCACGCGCTCTGCTGACTGCACAGCTAGCAGCGACTGCGCTTGGGCTGCGTTGCAGTGTGGGCGATATTATGAGAATTTATTAGTTGAATACTATCTTTATGATAGAACGTAATCATAATACTCAAATGTTTGTACATTCCAAAGCACAAGTCTCTAGTACTTGAAATGCGTCTTAAAAATTGATGGCGAAGGGGGCGTGGTATCCAAAATCTGTAAATTGCAAAATCTTTGTATCCATTAGTGTTCAAAATAGGCTGAAAAAAAATCAAGTTCATTTTTCGAGTATCCTCGATAAAAAAAATATCGGATGAGTTATCGAAAAACTAAGATAAACTTGTACTGCCTATGGTATACACGAGTATGCATGCCAAATGTTAGCTCTCTAGCTCTTATAACTTCTGAGATCGGTTCGCTTGTACGGACAGACGGACAGACGGACCGGGCTATATCGACTCAGCTCGTCGTACTGATCAAGAATATATATACTTTATGTGGTCTGCGATGATTCCTTCCGCCTGTTACATACTTTTCACAAAACCATTATACCCTGATTTCACATTTTCAATGGGTTCAGGGTATAAAAAAAAATTGAAATCATGACAGATGGGTCAGTCGAGAATGGACAACCTATATATCGATTAGCAACATCAGAGTGATGCCAGATCGCCTGAAATGCAGCTCTATACGCCAGTTATTACAGGGTATTCCATGTCTCAACACTTTCCATTGCTCAGCAGTCATTTCTCGTTTTTGCGCCTGTCGAAGCTTTGGTATTAAGCCCAATGTCTATGACATGTGTTTGACTATGTGTGTGTGTGTGTGTGTGTGTATACACACACGTAAGCATACTCTGCGGATTTCGATTTTGCGTGCACCAAAAAGAAATTTAAATGAGATTTACGTGAGGCTCACGTTTTCATTTGTTGATTTCGATGCGTGAGTTGTGTGAGTGTGTGTATGTATGTGAGTGTGCGCCTGTGTATACGGGTGTGTGTATGTGCCTCAGCTTCTTAGCTAATTACGTAGCTGCGCTCTTTAATGCTGATTAAGTGACACGTTTTTCACGTACCTTGGCTGGCTTCGAGTTGAATCAGTCGCAGCCAATCGTCAGTCAGATGCTATTAATAGTGCTCATTATTTTGATTTTGGCAATGGATAAGTCAGCACTAAATACACAGCTGTAGGTGTAACCTATACATGTGTGTGTGTGTGACGTACATCAATTGAGTTGACGGCCTGTTGGCGCCAGCAGTGAACAACACACACACAAAACACAGCAGCAAAGCCCAGTAGACACATTAAGCTGCCATACAAAGGCACACAGAGAGAAGGGGAGAGAGATAGAATGAGATAGAGAGAGAAAGATACGCATGTACACTAGTATGGAATCACAACACGTGTCACTCAGTGTAGAGCACCCTATAGACGCGCATAGGCATAGGGTGTGCTCGTGTTATATTAATGAAAAGTGCAGTCAACTATGAAGCACTTTGAAAGTTCTTCGCACAGGTCTCGAATGTCTTCCAATCGATTTCCTAGCCAAATTCGATTTCAAGGTAACACACACACACACACATATATAGGAATCTCCCTTAGCGTTCGCAAGACGCCTTTCTTATTTAATAAAAGCAATCTTGCTAAAAAGTATTTTTATCTTTGTCAACTACTTCTCCCCCCCACTCTCTCGCATTCTCTCTCTTTCTCTCTCATGGATAACTTAACAATTCCTTATGTATAATATATACATAAATTTAGCTCTAATCAGTTATCTTCAAGCACTGCTGGACTACTGAGCGTATGCGCAATGTCTATGCTGCTTTGGCTTGGACTGAGCACCTAAAAGTATGCAAATATTTGTTGTTTAAAACGCTCTGTCTGCCTGGCTGACTGGCTGGCTGACGTCCGGAGGTGGCCCATTTAATTATGCTTGCATTCATTTGCCATTGTCCTCAACAAAATAAAAAGGGTTTTGTTCCGTGCGAGAGCCCTCTGAATACATTTAGCTAATTGAAAACGAATCGTTCGCAGGCAATCGAGGCAGTAATTATGCATTGTTTGGGGCTCAGCATTTGCCCAGATTATGCCCAAATAAAAGCTTGGCTTTATTCTAATGGAAAAGGCTCCACGATCGAGGGTCTCTTGCCACCAGAAGAGCTTAGCCAGCGGCACAGCAGTCGATCTATTTTTTACCCAAATGACTCAGAATGGGCTTGGTTTTCTGCTCGCTTGTCCATACCCTGTAAGCAGCCGCAGGTAGCTAAGTTCACACATTTATCGACTCCATCGACATTTCCGACAATGCGACAGCTTTGCTACCCTCACTCACAATGAGTTCCTCTATTGGGCAACTTCCACAACTTATTCGCACTGACAGACTGATTGAATAATTGGCTAACTGTGTAACGGAGTGACAACTTATCTAAAATTGCTCAGGAGTGGGAAAATTTTGCAATTAACCGTTAACCATTTAATGGACGCTTGATTTCTGGGCAAGTCTCTGATTCTTAAGCAATCGTAATACTCATTCATGGTCCAAAAAACAGTTTCATCGATGTTGGCAATGGAGTCAGGAAGGAATCTCCATTCCATTTCGGAGATTCCAAATTGTTGGAAGATATCTATTTCTGTTTTTGGATTTACCACGCCCACGAAAGGGCATATAAATAGAAAGCCATAGAAGAGAATGGCAATTTATATCTCACTTCCTAAGTTTCCATCTGAAGACCTGTTGAAAAGTCCCGATTTGCCACGCTCCGGTATGCATGGGCAAATCATTCTTGGTTGATTCTTGGGTGTTTTGGTTCTTTTTCTTACATTAAAGATTCTCGAAATCTGTTATTCAATATATCGATAGGTAAGAGTGCCGAAGTCGAGACTGCCCGACTATGAGGTCCTATGACTCTTTCCAGTAATTCTATGCTACTTTTCAGCACACACACACACACACACAGTATACTCGATACTCTATGAATTACTCGCGAATTTTTATTTAAAATTTGGCGACTCGATTAGAGCTATATAATCGGAATATACACGAGCCTACCAACAAAATGTACCGCCTCTAGCTCTTATATCTTCTGAATTCGACACGCTCAAACATACAGACATCATAAAGTCCTGCCGGTTTCATATGTAAAAATGAGTTTAGAGTATAAAAATCTAGCATAGGCTAGAAAAACTTCGACTTTACTGAATTTGGTCTTTAATATAATTTCCCCGAGTGTATATACCTAATTGCAAGTATCTAACTTCATTAGCAGCCAAATAGCTTACATTCATACAGACAGACAGAAGGATTGACGGACGGGTAGCCGGAGCGGAATTGCACTGAAGGAATATACCCTTTCGGTTTGTGAATGAGTATAATGAACTTTAAAGTGCTTGATTACTGAATGTGAACTCCTCAAAAGTCGRAACATGCTCTATCAATACTGCTTAAAACTTTTTAAACTAGTTACCAACTAAACTTTCTTTGCCTTGTGGCCTTTACATATACATAAATATATATGTATATGCATATGTCTATGTATATGTATATTTATATGTAAATTTGTATGGGCATATATTAAAAATCAATAAAGGAAATCAACATCAATTGATTGTTGGGGCTTGTCTAAAGAAGTGGAAAAATAAAAAGTTGAAGCTCGTTTAATTGCAAAACTTTGGATGAACTCAAAGTATTTGCATATTCATAGCATAGCCAAACAAACGCCCACAAAATTCGAATTGATGCCGTACAACAAATTGCAGGGCTCGGGCTTTCCGTTTGTCAAATTACATAATGCACACAATCAATTCATGTGGGCGTGTCTGGGCGGCATACGTATGCGTGTGTGTGTGTGTGTGTATCGGTAAGAGAACAGAAAGAATGAAAGTGGACAAAGTTCGTGCACGCGCAGCTCGAACAGAGTGAAAGAGCAGAGCTCAGCTGCGCGGCTCATTTTAATTTGTTGGAAAGTTCTTTGGCTGCTGATTGACTGTGGCTTCTGGTGTCGTTGCAGAGACGTCGACGGAGCAGAGAGGCCAGGCAAGATGCGTCGCTCCTCGTTCACGCCCGTGTTCAACCTGAGCACCCAAGAGCCGCTGATAGTCGTCGAGGAGTCGCACGCCGTCGAGGACGGCGAGGAGCTGGAGGGCGCTGCCGGCGGCTGCGATCCCAGCGCCAGCAAGCGCAGCAACAGCGACGACTCGGAGCCGGACTCGCCGGTCAACCCGTACCTGCTGTGCCCCTTCCCCGACATGCAGCAGCGGCGCAAGCACTCGCTGCCCTCGCTGCAAATCACTGAGGGCATCACCGCCAGCCAGGTGCGCCGGCTGTCCGAGGTGGGCGGCGAAACGGGCGGCCTCAGCCCCAAGGAAGTCGAGTTTTTGGCCACGCTCTCGCAGAAGACCAACCCGACCGCAGGCGGCCGCCGCCATTCCGTGGTCACCATATCGGCTGTGCCGCCAACGCTTTTCGGACGCAATCGGCGCGAGTCCATTTCCGCCGTCTCCTTCAGGTAAATGACATTTTTATATGCCGCAGCCGCAGCCGCAGCCGAGCCACTTTATGCAGTAATTGGAAGTTTTGTGCGCCATTAGCGTTCCGAGAGTCCGCATCTCCGGCGCACACGCAGATGGCAGTGGCAGTGGCAGCAGCAACGGCAATGGCCGTGGCAAAAAGGACATTCGCAGGACATGGCCTCTTTGACCCACGCCTAATTGAATTGTGCCGCCGGCTGGCCAATGCTTTTGTGCTGTGCCAGCAACAATTTTTCCGATTTCCTGCTCGCTTTAACCTTTTCAGCGCCTGCCGAATGTAGCCAAGCGTAAGCGCTCCTGCCAAAGGACTCCAGCCCATGTCCGATAAGCGTTTGCCATAAGCATTCAATAATACCATCCATTAGTTAGCTGGATCACATAATTCCATAGCCAACATACCGGGCCAATTAAAGCTCACGGAAAAATGACTTAGTTCAGGAAAATATTTGATTTGCCTCTTCAAGTGCACAAGTTATCGATAAATATATCGATTGAGATGAAAGTAAACATGGTATCGACAAATATATCGATTGAGATGAAAGTAAATGGAACATAGGTTTTCATTTCATATCAGTTAACAAAATATATGATCTGATTTTATCTGATTCAAGTTTTAGGTATAGCTTCAGAGTCTAAACTAGCTTTTAATGTAAATGTAAAAAGCATTGCTAGCAGGATTTTTTCTTGGGGCTCACCTCATATTGTCGTTGCAAACTTTCACAGAAGCCTTTACTCATTTGCAAAACTCTCGAATAGACTGATAGAGCAATTGCTCTATTCAAAATGCTCCGATCTTCCCCAGTATCATCTGATCGATGACTATTCCACTTATCAATTCTATTTCCTTCTGTTATCGATATTTTATATACTCATTTTCACATTGTCTGAGTGGTGGCACTAACCATAGTGGTGGTGGCTAGTCTTATCATAGATTCCACTTCCTTCTGGTATCGATAGCTTATATACTCAAATGATCCGATTAGACTGCAATTCGCAATTGGTTTAAGCTAGGGTATTTAATGATATTGCTAACTCGAGGAGTGAAAAGGAGAGATCAAATATCTCGAACGTACATAGATGTACAAACTCTGAAGATTGTTAAGAGCTAATCAGACTTTATCTTAAATATATCAATAATTTGATTAAGGAAACTTTTAAGGGATAGCTCTACAAATTTCAATTATTAACGTAAGATTACTTTACTTGATGAGGATTACTTCACTATTCAAAAAAATAAATTTCCAGACTAGACTTCATTGTTAGGTAGTTATCAACATAGAATCGACTTAAAAACTAAATAATAAAATAGAGTGCAAGCAGATTAGGGATGCTAGATATTCCTAAAAA